CCCCCGGCCCCCGCTCGGTCGCGATAACGGCATCCATCTCTCGGAAGAAGAGCTCTTAAAGCGCTATCTTAAGCGACGGCTGCTGCCTAATGGCCGCGTATTACGGCGTACCGGGTGTTAATTAATTTCGAGGTGGAAAAAAGGAACGACGGGAGCCAGCGTGCGTGCGTACATGCGTGTCTGTGCACGCGGTGATCCACGGATCGCGTGTGTTCGAGAACGAGAAAGGGTTGCTCGTTCGCTTCGTTGCACGCCGCTGCCAGAGGAACGTGGTCGTCATTTCCTGTTACTACATGCTCCACCGAAACGTCGGGCGAACGTACCGTTAGGTTCTTCTTTTCTTTTTTTCTTTATGACCGTTTTATTGCCCGTGGTATTTATTTGTTTACTCTCAGTAAATAGTAAGCCGTAAAACAGGCTCCTCATCGAATTCTATTGAGTTAACCTTCGACGCTCTCTGGGCAGCGCGCTTCCTCTTCATATCGCTCGTCCTCAACCCTTTGAAATGCGACGGTTACGCAGGACTGAAACGACGGCATTTTGAAGCCTTTGTTACCTTCCATATCGTCAAAACAAATCGTAGATATCACGAGTGCAACGGTAAAAATTCTTGGCTGAACATTCTTTACATTTCTCCGTTTCGTTCCTGCACGGCGAATTGTCGGTCATTAAGTCCGGCAGAAGTCACGCGGCGGAGCGCGATATTAGCGCCAAGTAATCTCGCGAGAATTAACGCGATTCGTTAACACGCACGAACATACACCGGGGGATTCAGGGGGTCGAAGCGTCCTATCGGCGATCATGAGATTCGCGAAATTGGCTAGCAGCGCGAGAAGACCGCCGCGGCGTCCCTCACGATCATTAATCTGCTCGCGGCACCGCGGGGCGGTTTATTTTTTCCTGCGAGACGATCTCTCTCGACGCGCAGAGTCCTGCGCGGGATGTCACGGTGCAAAGCTCTCTCCCCTTTCCCTCCCCTCTCTCTCTCTCTCTCTCTCTCTCTCTTTCTTCGTGGGTCGCTCAGTTATCTACGGGTACAAATTAGCGGACGAGCTTCTTCTAAAGTAAAAGCTGTGTATGGCACCCGCGTGAACGAAAAGAGAGAGAGAGAGAGAGAGAGAGAAAGGGAGGGTGAGAAAGGGCGGGGGGACGGAGGGGAAAAAGGAGAAAGAGAAGAAGAAGAGGAGAGGAAGAAGTCGGCGACAACGAATGAGAGAGGAGGGAGCGGAGACGGGGGAGGGTGGTAATAAGAAGAAAAGGGAAAAAGGGCCCGGCGACTCTGCGTAGTGTGGGAAAGGACTGGAGGGAGGAGGGGGTGGGTGGCGACTCTCGGAGGGGTTTTAGGGTCGCGGAGGTTATTGAGAGCTCCCATTACCGGTACAACGTTGCACCGCTGCTATCTTTCGCGCTATTGATGATCTACCGAAAGCAGATTAATGATCTTAACTCCCCCAACAAATTACGAAAGACACCGCGTACCTGCGGAGGAAGTCGGATTGTATCAAGAGATTCCTTTCGCTACCTCCTCGCGTCCCGGCTTCGCCGCTCGTGCGTGCGTCTCACTTCGCGAATAAGGAACGAGCCGAGCACCCGCGGCAATTATTCCACCGTGAGTTGCTCGTGTAGCGATCGTGCGTTTCGCTGAAAACGCGCGGATTTCTTTTATCGGTCCGCGCGATTCGCGCTCGTCCGCTTCTCATCTCGCCACGATGATGACGATAAATTTCTTAACGGATAATTCTCTTTCTATTTAATTTGTTAATTTAGTAATTGTTAATTTAGTAATTTTCAAACGATTTCGCCACTTTATTATACGTAATCCTGATATTGACAGACGAGGAGCGCGAGATGGATTTCGTCGAGCAGCTAAGAGTTAAGAGGAAGTGAATAACGGAACGATAGAAAGTATTTCGATCGAGAGCTATCTGCGTTAAACGCTGCATTCGAAGACGACGAAAGGAACAAGGACATATCGCAGGAGCGATTTATCGCAGCGACCGACCTGCGCACTTTGCCAGCGGCTGTTATAGTTTCGTTTCGCTTCGAGTGCTCGATCTCATGGGAACCCGTTGGGCAAATCGGAGACGAGATACACGAGCGCGTGTCCCGCATTTTTGCAATAATCCAAGGGGTCGCAGAAGAATCCATGATGGCGACGACGCGGGGATGCACGTGTTTTATTTAATCCTCAGCCCGCTCCCGCGCGTCCCGTCCACCGCATGCGCTCGCGGAGACGAGAGAGAGAGAGAGAAATACACCGCACGGAATTTCGCGTCTAATGGGATATACCCGATGGGAAGAGGAGAGAACTCGTCCTTTCTTTTTTTCTCGGATCCCCCGACTCGCGAGAATACCTGCGGCAGATATCGAGGTGCCTCCTCACTCTTCCCCCGATCTTACGAGAGTAAATCGATTTCGCGGCGAAGTACATTGTAGGGAATGCGATAGGCCGCGAATTACGTTCCGCAGATGGTATCTAGCGCGTAAGTTATGGCGACCTGTAACTTGGCGATAAAACAGGACTCTCTCGTTCGTCAATTTCCAAGCGAGCTTCGCGGAGTGCTCGCGTCACGCGAAGAGGCACCTTTTGTTAATAAACCTCCGCGCGATTCCGTTATCCTTCACGATAACGTAAATTCCGCGGAAATGATGTCACACTCGCGAGACCGCAAGTAGCACAATATCGTTCGCTACACCCAGTCGTTAAACTGTCGCGCATCCAGCGCGCTCACTTCGGCTCAGCATTCGTAGAATGATTTCTCCGACTTTCGATCGTACATCTCACGTTAATTAGAAGCGATATCTGTGTTATTGCTAGACTAATTGCGTCAAATTTATCGTTCAAACTGATGTAAGACAAGGTTTCAATCTTGAAATTCTTTCATACATTATCTTGTACCAATATTATCTATGCTAATGCCAAGTAAATTGGTAGTTAGCAGTTCATTGAAGCACTCGGAAGTTTGATAACGTGACGTAGATTGACACAGATCGACGGCGACACTATTTTTTTCCATTTCGATAAACCCCGGTAGAAATTTCATGCATTTTTTGAGCAGTTACTGGACAGTCTATTAACTTCTGTCTAGTCGTCGAGGAGTAAAATTACTTGGAAGATCAATCAAGTTGCAACGTTTTTTCTACACTGAGAGAAAATTATCGTTATTTTCGATGCTAACAATATCTTTTTGTTATTTTAACCACAAAAATAGTAGAGAACTATGTTTCTAGCAAGTGTTACTGTATCAGTGATAATAACTTCACGTGCATGTTGTTACTATTATTTTTAACCGGAAATAATTACAATTTTCTCTCAACATACAATTATTGCGGGCGGAAAGAGTTCGCTCCCACAGCTAAAAACTAGGTCTGATAACTAAATTTCAGTTGCATCATATCAGCTAACTTTCAACTGCGGGAGCTAATTTTTTCACTCCTGTGCGTACAAAAGATACGGAGAATCCGTATCCATTTACTAAACGAAAACGAATAAAAAAGAATAAATAAAGAAAAAACTATTCAATTGATTGACAAGCAAACCTGCTGCTCATGAAATGAGCAGTTTTGCTCTAGAAGTGCTGTATAAAAAGGTAACCCCACGCGTCGCGTGAATTCTACTCGCATAGGGGGAGAAAAAAGAGCGCGTATCACGGCGTGCATCAGAGAAAGCCACGCACACGTGTCACGACGTCAAGAACGCGCGTCGCCGCGAACCAGTTTATTGACTATTATATCATCAGACCTGTAATTCAATGTCGTCCTGCAAGTCCGACCGGCGTAAGTGCGCGCGTGTGTGAAGGTATACGCGCGTGCATCTACTCACACGCACGCCTCCTGTTCCCGGATGCTAGGTGTAATTATTTACAAGAAGCTACGTAGCTCTCCTTCTCTATCGCGCACGGCGAGAGCTCGTCGAGGCTGTCGCCGTTGACGAAGAATCGCTCGTGTGTATATATTTCGAGAAGTTCTCGCGGCGAATCGTCGCCGATGTCCGCGCGCCGGCTGACGACAAACGAGAAGCGTATTGTCGCGAAATACGCCGCGATTGTAAAATTTATCGCCCGACACTTTTACGCGCCGTGCCGGATTTTACGACTGATGATGCCCGATTGAGGGCCCCGCGAGTTTCGCATCCGATCTTTATTTATCGACGCGCTGTCGACGCGCATCGCGCGTCAGTCGTCCGTCGTTTCAATATTGGTTGATAAGTAGCCAAACAATAAAACATCTTGATTAATCGAGAAGCGTTTCGAAAGGAGCTAACGGTTTTCTCACCTCGGCGCTTCCCTGTGCACTTAGTGATCGCGATAATGAAGGAATCGCCTGATTAATCGTATCATCGATTTGTACAATTTGACACGATGCATCAGTTTGATCTACATTCATCAGTGAAAATTGACGATTTTCAATACATCTATCCAACTGTGGGTCGAGGCGGTCTCTTTTAATTTAGGGGAGAGGAAGGGTAACCCAAGTCGAAATTTTTAATTCTACAATTAAGTCTTCAAATTAGCTGTCTCTATATAATCCAATCGAATGTTTAATCGATTTAATTAATTTTTTGCCCCTATTTTATGTAACTTCCGCGGCTAAAAACTAGATATTGTAACTAAATTTCAGTTGTATTATACGGACAACGAATTTTTACCCTTACCTTATTTATTGAATGGACGCATCGCGAATCGTAGATTCTCACTGAGATTGCAGATCAAGCTGATAGCTAAACTAAACATCAGCTGCTTTATATAAACAGCTAATTTCTTTCTTCCATGTGGAGAAAACGAAAATGGGTTCCTATTTGCACCAAAGGAGCACAAATGGGAGCTGAGATATTCAGAGTCTAGATTTGAGTTCTACATTGAGTCTTCAAGCGGGAGGAAATGGGCGATAACTTCCCACAACTTGTAATATTAAAGGAGCACAATGGAAGACCATCGGAGACTCGTAGAATGTAGAACTAAATTAGACCTAAGGACTAAAACATCGACTCGGGGACGCGCATTGTCCGCGAATCGTTCCCTCTGTCGACGCGCCTTTCTCTCGAAGAGAAGGAAGCTCGTTTCGGACGCGGTTCCGGTGCACGAGGCGCGCGATTAATACCACGACGAGAGGCCCATAATGAAGATCGCAGCGGGATTCGTTCCTCACGCGCGGTGTGGCTCTCGAAGGGCCTATTTGCACTTCGTCATTGTGCACTCCTGCGAAAGCGGAGGATGCGACCACCAGGTCGAGGAAGAAACCGGCGCCCCTATTGACGAATTCTCCCCGCGGCCGAGGGTATGAGGCGCGGGCGCGCCAATAATACATTGGACGCAAAGAGGAAAAAGGCCGCAGAAAAAGTCCGACCGCGCTACCGGGCTGGTAAATTTTTCCCGACGGGATTAGACACGGCGGACTCGCAGCTTTTTGCTCTCGCTCGTTGACAACGACGACGACGACGACGACGATCGTCGTGATGCCTCTCGTCGCGCGCGGCGGTCTGCCACCGCGTGGCGAACGAAGGCGAATGACGTGCACTCCGTGAACGACTTTGCGATTTGAACCGCTCCGTCGCAGCGGACGTACAAAGCGCGCGAGAGTGACATCTTGACGTCTGCATTATGCTGCATCGCGGCGCATCGGGAGATCGTGGGGATCGCAGACTTCCCCGAGGAGCGTTCACGGCGACGATGAAGTGTCGTGATCGGGGTAAAAGAAGAAGACGAGGAGGATGAGAGAGAAGGATGCGCGGTGTGAGGAGCGGAGGGCGTATTGACGGTCAATCTCGCGGAGAGTGGACGGTTTGAGTGAAGACAAATCGACGACGATGGTCGGCAACGATCGCGTGTAAATTAAGACGGGGAGTGCAATCGGCGAGGTGCCCGGGGGACGCGATGCTACTTTTCATCTTCGAGCTGTTCCTTTTCGCCCTGCGCGACGTCGCGAGATATCGACGATTTTTCCAGCAGCGCCGATGGATTCGGCGAGTTCGCGGATTTTCCGTTGGAAATTTCCGGACGGAAAATCGAGAGGACTTTCCGATTCCGGTGTCGCCGTTTCCGAAGACATTGGGAGGAAGCTCGAGAGGTCGAACATGAAATCGCTAGGTCGCAGAGGCACTCACCGACGGTGCTCCAGGAGGATCAGCAGCAAGGCGACGGTGGGGCCGATCCTGGTGGCGATCCTGGACGGCGACCCCTCGCGTGCACGTCCTGTACGAGACGGAGGCATCCTGTCATTGCCTCGAGGACTCTTCTTTGCGCGGTTTGCCCACTTTAAAAGAGTCGAGTGCGACCCCTCGTCCGGGGCTGCACACCCCTAGCACCCGAACGGAAGGACCCCTCGTTCGAGACGATGCTGGAAGCTGCTCCCGTTCTTTATCCACCTCTTTCTCTCCTTCTCTCTTTCGCGCGCGCGCCTTCTCTCGCGCTCTCCGTCGCTCTCCTCGCGCGTTCGCCCCGTATTCTACGGTCCCTCTCCTACTCTTCTCGCCGCGGTGCCTGTGATCAGCAGCCTGGCACGCGTCGAGGACTCCACCTCGCCCCGGGCACCGGCGCTTCTCCTTTGACGTTCCGTACGATTCGAGAGCTCGCAGTTTCGCTGCCTCGAGGGGTTGTACCGAAAACTACCCCGGGACAATAATATTCCACGGCGATCGGTCGATTCATCGGACGAGAGAGAGACAGCGGTACGTGTGTGTTTACGTGTGCGTACGCGTCTCGATCCCGGGCTCTCTCGCGGCACGATGGGACAGCTTATTGCGTTGGCTCGCTCGCTCGATGACGAGGAGGTTCGTTCTCGACGTGTAATCACCTACCTTCTCTCGTGACTCGTTTGTCGGGTAATGACGCTTCGCTATCCTTTGACGAACCACTTACGCGTACATCCCCATCAGAGAGATCTCCGTCGCGTTTATCGGGAGGAACTGTCGACGTAAGAGAGAGATAAAGAGAACGAGGCACGGCGGGAACGATTCTCTCCCGGGCGACCTCGCTGAATCTTCTTAGATACACTTATCTTTGGAGCAAAAATACTGTCGATGTTTGCGTGAACGAGACGGTCTGGAGGTTCCCAGCGTCCTCCAGGTGGTTTCGTCGAGGTATACGGTGTGGTCACTATCACTACAGTCTTCGTCGCACCGGCTCTATCTTTGGCATTCTCTTCGGCGAGGTACTCTTGAGCATAACCCGGACTTCCGGACGATATCGCGACGATATTCCCTTTATCCGATTTGCACCACGAACTCGCTGACCGCGACACCCTTCTCGACGAAGTCTATTCGAAGATCCAGTGACATCCTGTCGTCCTTTCGTACTTCGAGGTCGTCCACCTTCTTCTTCTTCTTCTCCTCCTCCTCCTCGCGGCTCCTGCGCTCGGTAGCGGTGGATACGGATGAACGAGCCGATCTTTCAACGCGTTTGTCGGAAGAAGAGAAGAGAGCACGGTGTCTCACTCGACACTTCCGGTGTGTGTGCGCTCGCGGCGAAGTGTCAAGCTCAAATAAAAGAAAAGTCGCCCTCCGGATCCTCCTACTCCTCCCACACGCGGACCATCACCATCTTCCCCCCTTCCCCGCCACCTTGGTTGCAAGTCTTCTTCCTCTTTCTCCGCAACCACCGCCTCCTCTTCCACCGCGGCTTCCTCGGCCTCTCTCTCCCTCGTAACCGCGCCTATCTTTCGCTCCGCTCGTGCAAACAGTCGAATAGCAAACTTCCCGCGATCGTCACGCACGGTGCGACGATGACGACATAGCCAGGCGAGGCTTTGTAGACCGCGGAAGAGGAAGACGTGAAGAATCGGATGGAGGAAGGGGAAGAAAAGGGTGGAGGGCTCTGATCCGCCTGGAGAGACTCCGGGAGTGGAAGTGCCGACGCGTTTGATCGGATCGCAACGGGGGTGGAAAAGGTTCCCGCACGCCGTCGGATCGGCCGTCGAGGACGGAGGATATAATCAAAGGTGAAACTGTTTCGGCGTACGAGACGGAGGAGACGCTAAGAAGCTTCGCGAACGTCGACCAGCACGACGATGGAGCGCGACGAACGTGTGGCGATCGGAAGCAGCGAGCCCGATGGAGGAACGCGAGAAGAAGGTCGCGCACTTTCGTTATCCCCCTGTGTTCTCCTGTTTCTTTCTCTCTCTCTCTCTCTTTCCCTCCCTCTCCTCCTTTCTATCGATCTATCTCTTTCCCCGGTTCGCCGACACCGACACCACGTTGCAGAACCGAACAGACGGGCAGATTCCGCCTCCGTTCAAGACCGACGAGAAGCTGTCAGGAAGATCGCTCTGTCTATGATGAACTCGGTGCGCAGTGCGCGGCTACGGGGCCCTCCTCGCCCTCCCATAGGGAGAGAAAGGAGAGATAGGGAACGGTATAGGCACGAAGAAACCAACTACCCCCCCACCATAGCCACCACCATCCGGACGCGACCACCACCACCATCGGCCACCACCCCGAGATTCGGTGTGAGAGACGAAGAGAGACGTATCAGAAACCGAACCGTTTGAACGAGGACGACGAGATGTCGAGGGGCCGAGATGGAAAGGGAGAAATAGCGGAGGTAGAGGACGCGCGCGCTGGAAAGAGAGAGACGGAAAAATGCGTGGCGGCCGTAGGCCGCTTCTGCATCTCTCTTTTCCTTCCCTTTTCCTCCCACCGCCGTCTCTTTCCTGCCGTCGGCGGTGACTCCGTCCTCGTTCTCGAAAGAAAACACCTAAAACGTATCCCCGTGAACCAACAGGTACGCCGGCGCGTCGGCGACCTGGATTTTTGCATCTCGGGGTGTTCCTCGCTGCCGAGAATTTATTCTTTTTCTCTCTTTCTCTCGGCGATAGATAAGCGCAACATCAGTTGTTTGTCGTAGCGAGGATTGCGCGCTCCCCCGTTCGTCCACGCTAAAACCCCGTTCGATTTCATTCAATCGGGACAAACGCGATTCATTCATTCGCAAATCGGCGATACATTGCGTCTCATTGAGACGAACGCAGCTGCGTTCATGCCGCTTCGAGCAGACCATCCCCGCTTACCGAGATTCCTCGACACGTTTCCCGGTTCCCGAAGGATCACACCCTCCGTCGGAAGCAGAAGAAGGAAGGTTGCCCGAGATCACGTGACGGGTACAAGTAGGAGGAGCAAAATTCCCCTACCTAGCATCACTCGGAGGAGTCAATCGGCATAATTGAGGCTTATCTTCCTCCCTTACACAAACTGCCGTCCGCCTACTCTCCATCCCCTCTTTTCTCCTCGGGTCTTTCCTCGGGTTCTGGTTTGTACGCGTAGGGGCTACGAAGGGTGCCGAATCCAGGTTGCCTCAGCAACAACGACTTTCCGTCAGGGTGGCCTCGTCTCTTCTCATTTGTTACCCGAGATCCGAAGTCTTCAATAGATACCTCCCAAGCAACAATGAGCGTTTAATGAATATCGGACGGAAAGAGAAGGAATGCGATGCAACGGTCTCATTTTCTTCGGCGGAATTTCAATTCTTTGCGTTTTCGCAACTGCCATTGTGTCACGAGGAGATGTTCAATTACACGGCGAATATTTCTATCGCGGTAAGAAACGCAACAACGGAAGAAAGACATACCGAATTCGTATTTACGCGGTTCGGCCGATCGCCGTCCGTCCGATCGAGCACGCGAACGAAAGAAACGGGCGGATGCCTAAATCGAAATGCCCATGACGTCTGAATCGAAACAGCCGGCTCCGCGAGCTATCTGACGCGCATCTCCCCGCATCGTCGGCTCGTTCCTCTCTATAGCCAATTAGCAGCGCGTCCAATATAATATCCGTCGCACGATGATCGCAGGTCGGTGCCGCGATTGCGAGAACCATAGCGAGGGAGCGAAGCTTCCTTCCCGTTTCCTCTCACCCCGGTCGCCTTCGATCGACGCGATGTGGAAGTGCAGATTTCATTGACGTGGTCGCTGAGCTGGCAATTAGCCGCAGCAGCGACCCCGGCTCGCTCGTACACCGCGCGTAGTCACCCCACCGCGCCACGTGGTCGAAGATCAAACGGTATCCTGGCACAAAGCGTAACCAGCTGGGGTCTCGCCCGATAATCGGTGGCGACTCGGCCGGGGCCTCGTGGTCGACGAATTCACGGTGACGTTCGCTCACCTTCCGCTCGCGACCTTCGGCCCGTGCCTAATTAAAACACATGCTGTACAAAAAGAGAAACGAACAGGTGCGTATTCGCCGGTGACAGAGCGAGCGTTGATCTAATCAGTGAAACTGATCCTTGCCGGTGAACGGAATAAATCGCGCGCGAAAAGCTCCTCTTCAGAGGTGTATATGTGCGAATTGCTTTAAACATTGTTAATATATTAATCATTGCATAGGGAATAAACAACTCTTGAAATTCCTTGGAAGTGAAGTCTCCCTCGATAAGGAAAATAATCACCGGATCGTGTCGAACTTGAGCGACTTTTCACTTGCACAGAGTGAATTCTTCTCTGAATCGTCGGGTGACTATTTTCGCTCGAAATTGAGAAGTGAATCTGACTTATTTCACCGTCACAGGAATATATATTCACTCTAATCGACTGGAATATTCGCTCAGGCGGAATCGGATTCGCTTCGAGCTTGGGTGAAACATTCGCTCTTGCGATTTCGGGTTGGCAGTATTCTCACTGTCGCTTCGAGTTAACAATATTGCCGCTCTTCATTTATTCCGAGTGAGATTCGATTCTAGGAAATTTGAGGAGAATAGCGGTCGCAAAAGGGATTTCATTCGAGCATTATTTCACGGAGTTTCGATCGGCACGTTATGAGAGACAGTACCGTTTCTTACCGAAACAGTATCAGCCTTCATTAGCGCAAGCAGCGGTAGACATAGTTCAGCCTGAGCAGTAATTCTGGATTATCACGATACGTCACCGTGTCTACGTGCAGGTGGTTCGGTGCAACCTTACTATCGCATATCCCAAACGGCTAACGAGCCGTTATCTCGCGAACGCCACGGAATTATAGGCGGCGATTTATCGCGGTGGGCCATTTACCAGTGAGCGCGTACACCGCTCGCGACACGTGTTTCCTTTTGCCTCGCGCACGCACGTACGTATGTACGCACGTACGTACGTACGTACGCGGTCCAGCCACGTTCCATTCGTTTCGTAAAGGGACACTCATTGCCGTTCCCGATACCTCGTACCGATAACATCGTTCGTGCTTCCAGAGGTATCCCTGGAAGCGCGCTTCTCGCCGCCACGATCTCGTCCCTTTCCCTCCTCGTCCT